ACTTCAAGAGTTAAGGTCATTACATTATTTTTATTACAAGAGCAAGACATGACTTACGTTTAAGTATGTTGGCTGGGATACCACATGCTAAATGAGATGTGTCCTATCAAATGACTCTTGGAAAGTTTCCTCACCTGAACTGTCCAGATGGCCATCATCTAGAATACCTTCCACTTTTCTCTGGTGGACCTGGGTCCCCCACCTGTCTTGAAACGCTCTTGAGGAGCAGCAGCAGTTGATTTTTCCAGGTTTATTTTTATATTTTTCCACAGGACTTTTGAAAGATAATATACACATTGAGTTACTGTAGGAGTTATACTGTATGTAATATTGTTTGTCAAATTTCTGTGCACATACAGTACGTCGACCCCACCCTGTTATGTTACATAAAACATTTATAATTGACTGATTTGTAAGATTGGGCCAACAATAAATAAAACCTGGAGTGACCGTTTGGTTACTTTTTCATTTGAGCCGAATTCATTCAAAATGGATATCCATGCCACCACCTTCTTGTTTTCTGCACCTGAATCAGCATGATTCATTTATTACACGGTACTTTGATACAATTTGTTTGAAGAGGGTCTTCTCAAATTCATTGAAGTTTTTTGAGCGTTTTCTTTTGCCTTTATCCATTTTTGGTTAAGTTTAGTAACACCTGTTCCACACACTGCTAAATGCTAATGAATTGCAAGTATTCCACAACAGGTTTTATAGCAACCTCACCTTAGCAACATGTGCACACCATTAATTAATCAGGTTTCCAAAAGATGATCTCATTTGTCCTTGATTACCTTAATCTGAGACTCAGTAGTCTAGAACTAATTAATCTGAAGTTAACATCTCAGAAAGACGGTTGTTTAGTCTGGATTAATTTCAGTAGAATTAGCCTGGTCCTGATTTATTTTAAGCCCCGAACAGGAAACTGGGCCCAAAACCCAAATAAGTTATACTGAATAATTTATAATGCAATCAATTTTATTCTAGTTTTCTGGGTAAGATTACTTATTCTTTAGGCCATATCTCTAACAGTAGGAAAAAACATTTTAATTTTTAAGTACCTATTTTAAGACAGGAACCCTGGATGGATGGCACCTAGATCCTCCTTGGTGGAGCCCATCTTGCACCAGGCTCACTGCAACACATAGTACCATTGTAGAGCCTGGTTCTCTGGATCATATAAATAGTAAGAACCTGCCACCTGAGAAGACGTTCTGCAAAATACTGAGTCTGTGGGAAGACAGCTCTGCAGGCCAGCTCTATGCCCCCCCCCTGCTGTTGCTGTCCATACCTGTTAAAACTGGTAATGATTCCCACAGAGCGGACTAGGATCAGAATGATTCAGTTTAAATAAATACTTTATCACAAATCATGGTTGCTGGTTGAGCTGTTCATTATCAAATACAGCAAACTCACTGTATAATATTATCATTGACTAAAACTTAACTAACTTAACTGACCATCACATATGGCCAGAGGTTCAGGGCTTGCAAGTGTCCTGGATGAAAACCAAGGTCCAAGCCTTTGATGACCTTTTGGTCATAGCCATCAGCAGTGTGTCTGTCTCCGGAGAGAATGTCAATTGTTTTGAGAGGTTCACTGACCTCGGCAGTGACATTCATGCCTCTGATGACTCATCCTAGTCAGGAGACTGATTGGGAGAGCATGGGGGGTCATGAGGTTGCTCCTTGTGTGTCACTCCCGATATCTTTGTAAGAGGACGAAGGTCCAAGTCTTTAGAGTCCTGGTGCTCCCTGTTTTGCTGTATGGCTGCGGGGCATGGACACTGTCCAGTGAGCTGAGACAAAGACTAGACTCATTTGGTGCTATATCTTTTCGGAGAATCCTTGGGTGCCGCTGGTTTGACTTTGTGTCCAATCAGTGGTTGCTCAGGGAGTCCAGAAAGAGGCACATTACCTGCATTGTGCGGGAGCATCAGTTACAGCCTGAGGGTGATCCAGCTCGCAGGATCCTCATTGCTGAGGACCCAAGTGGCTGGAGCGGGCCGAGGGGACGCCCACATAACACCTGACTGCCACAGATAGGTGATCATTTCTGGAGGATGGAACTAGACTGTGTGACAGCCTAGGGGGGTCACCCTTGGCAGGAGCCATTGTAACAAGATCAATGTTATTCACTTCACCTGTTAGTGGTTTTAATGTTATGGCTGATCGGTATCATTGATATGATTCCTTATGCTGACTGGAATAGACTCCGGCCTTAAAATCTCCATATTGCATATTGGGATGATGGTTGGATGGCAAGTTGATGCTGAGGAGGTTGTACAAATGTTGACACATTTCCAAGTGACATCTGAAGGTCACTCTTTCTTTTACATTATAGCAGCAGACCGGATTCAATAGAGACAGAGCCAACAGAAATGACTGAAGAGCCAGGAATAAATTTAGAGGGCTATAGAGGAGCTTCTGTCCCACATTATAAAATCAGCTCAGGTTAAAGGGGATGAGACAGCACAATGCAAGAGGTCAAGTCTGTGTCGGTTGTGAAGGGAGGAACAGAAGAAAAGTTGGCTGCTATTATACAGGAAAAGTAGCAGCGTGCTGTTGATGATCTGGCTATGCTAAGAGCACGGCTTCCAGCTCTGATTCCATCAGTATCACAGGTTATAGGTGTGAAAGTGAAGCTTTGGGCAGACAGGGCATTCACATAATGAATCACAGCGGACGGAAAGGCAGATACGCAAAGGCTAAAGGTCCTTAGATAGCAGATAAAGTTAATTACTATGCTACAGCAGTCTTTACTATTTTGTCACCTCAAACAAGGAAGTGATGCTCACTCTGTCACTGTATAACAAGGAAGTGATGCTCACTCTGTCACTGTATAACAAGGAAGTGATGCTCACTCTGTCACTGTATAACAAGGAAGTGATGCTCACTCTGTCACTGTATAACAAGGAAGTGATGCTCACTCT